ATTTATTTTTCAACATGTTTTTTGGACTAAATTTTACTACAGTACGATACGTTTTATTTTAGTGTTTTGACTGAGCTGGGTACCAGAAGTCAAACTTGTCGATGATAGAACATATTTCATATTGTTTCATGTTTTCTTTTCGAAACGAATGTTTTTGAAACAGTCATTCTCATTGATATCACTCAGATGCTTTCTTACGGTGAAAATAAGAAATTGTTGAACAGTTGTTCGATTTTAATGATCTGTTTAACATTATACTAATCATACTTCGTACATAGATTCTAACGTTCTTTTAACATACAGAGCAGAAATTTTCTCATGGTCATTGTGATGCACATTAAAATTGTATGAATCTCACATGTGGACAAACACAATTTGAATATTAGTTTTTTATGAATCTTGGATATCAATGGAACAAGATGTCTTTTTATTATGCCATATATATTCCAAATGAGTTTAATATAAATCAAAAAACATATTAACAAGCTTATAAGTGATGATAAATTCATTCTGCCAGTCTTACTGAGATATGGTCATGATTACATTTCACACACTGAAAAAACGGGAATATAGTAGTACTTGTCTAATACTACTTGGAAATAAAATGCAACTTTCATTATCACATATGGCATCAGTATCCAGAAATAAAACTATTTTCATTCAAATAATAACTGTTCTATCGAAATAGAAAAAAAAACCAAAGGTTAATTTTATTTTAAGAATTGATTTGAATTAGAATTGAAACTGTGTAGCAGTATGTGACACGAGTAAAGTTCATAACTGCAAGTAGACAATTTTTAAAATATTGTAATAGCAAATCAATAAAAGCTTGCACGGATTTCATTCCTAAATATATAGATAAATATTTTTCTGAGTATAATGAATATTTTGTTTATATAAAGGGAATTTTCTGTCTTTCTAACGACCACTTTTAAACCATGTAAGTATCGATGGAAAGAACACTACAAAAAATGCAAAAGAGATGAAAATAATGACATTATAAATGTAACTAATATCATGATAAATACGAATCATATGTAATTAATAAAAACCTAAAATAATTCATTGTAATACACTGTAAAAATTAACTGAATAATTGTAATCACATAGTAATTCATTTCCAAGTAAGACTTCTTTTTCTTTGTACTGTTCTTTCCATCAACAGTTGAATATTTGAAAATCGTGATTAGAAAGATCAAAAATTTCTTTTATATTAACAAAATATTTATTATACTCAGAAAAAACTTATTTCTCAATACATATGACGTAAAAATCTCAAAATATCTATATATTTTAGTACTTTCATTGAGTTCATAATACGTACTTCAATACTCAATTATATTCAAACTATTATTATTTTACTTGAACAACTCGTGAATGATGAACAGTATATTGGGGGAGCAAGCAGAAACTGTTGTTCTATTGTTGTTTGTAACAATTTTGAATTTATTCTTCATTTTCTTCTACTCACATTATCAGACAGCAAGTCTTATGCATAATAAAAAAATAAAACTGACAATATCTTTATTTGTTTCGAGATAATGAAAGACAAATAAAAACTGAATGAGATAAGACATCCAACGCACTGACTTTCAAGTGACTATTAACTACGTATATAGATGATAAGAAAACGAAAGTTGGAAAGAATAACCATAAAATAAATGATATTGCTGGGTTTTTTTTCTCTACCTTTTGTTACTGACAACGATACTTTTGATAACATCCAGGTGAAGTTTGACCTTGAGTTTCAACGAAAAAAACAGTCGACATCCAACGTATAAATAGCAAAAGTAATATCTATTCAAACAACAATCTATTTACTAATCAAGCAGCAAAAATGGCATCAAAAATGACTCGATATCAAAGACACCGCATGGCTGAAAATTATTTGGTCATATGGGTCGATGGAAATATCGACATGGCAAATCAAGATTGCCAAAATTCAATGGAACAATTACGTGCTGTCGTCAATCAAGTTAATCCATGTAAGACAGCTGAACAATGTGTACAAATGCTTATGGAAAATCAAGAGGAGATCTCATTTGTTATCTCCTCAGGTGCACTTGGACAACACCTGGTACCAGACATTCATGATATGGCAAAATTAAATGCCATTTTCATATTTTGTGGCAATAAACAACGGCATCAAGTATGGGCACAAAATTGGCCGAAAATAAAAGGTGTCCACACAACAATCAAACATATTTGCGACAAATTGGCAACAACAATCAAACAATGCAATCAAGATCACATGTCGGTAAGCATTGTTAGTGTGAATGCAGAAGGTTCTAGCAAGAATCTAGATCAGCTAGAACCTTCTTTTATGTATTCACAAATATTCAAGGAAATACTCCTTGAAATCGAACATGAACAACAAGCCGTCCAAGATTTGGTCACGTACTGTCAACAAGAATACCAAGACAATAAGAAGGAAATGAAAATTATCCAAGAATTTCAACGTACTTATCAAGCATCCAACGCCATTTGGTGGTATACACGCCAATGCTTCACGTACAAAATGCTGAATGGCGCATTAAGAACACTCAATGGCGACATTATGATACGAATGGGTTTCTTTTTATGTGATGTGCATCGACAAATGGAAGCTCTGTACAAGAAGCAGGTCAGTGACTATCGTGGCAAGATTTTTACAATCTTTCGAGGGCAAGGCCTATCGAAAGTAGATTTTGAAAAGCTCGCAGAAAACAAAGGTGGCCTGATTTCTTTTAACAACTTTTTATCTACCAGCACAAATTCAGATGTCTCCCTTGTTTTCGCCAAAGAAGCCTTGAAAATGACTGATATGGTTGGAATTCTATTCCAAATAACCATTGATCCTACAATATCATCAACTCCATTCGCCTCCATTCAAGAGGTGAGCTATTATAAGGACGAAGAGGAAATTCTCTTCTCCATGCACACTGTCTTTCGCATTGGTGAAGTTCAAAAACTTGACAACAATCGTGCACTTTATCAAGTCGATCTTCAACTTACGTCAGATGATGATCCACAACTTCGTGAATTAACTGACTACATACGAAAAGAGGTCAGCGGCACCGGATGGCGTCGAATGGGTCGATTGTTACTCAAAATAGGTCAATTCGACAAGGCCGAAGAACTATATATGGTACTACTAGAACAGGCATCGGATGATAGTGACAGAGCAGATATTTATTACCAACTTGGACGGGTGAAAAATGACCAAGGACAATACAAAGAAGCAGTTGCATTTTACGAACAATCTCTGAAAATCGAGCGAAAAACTCTCCCCGAAGATCATCCCTCATTGGCTACTTCATACAACAACATCGGTCAAGTGTATAACAACATGGGTGCCTACTCGAAGGCACTTGAATTTTACGAAAAATCATGTAAAATAAGAGAAAAAGCTCTGCCTCAGAATCATCCTGATTTGGCTACCTCCTATAACAGCATCGCTTCGGTATATGAAACCATGGGGAACTACTCGAAAGCACTTGAAATTTATAAAAAAGGCCTTACAATACGCGAAAAATCACTTCCTTCAAATCATCCTGATGTGGCTGGTTCCTACAATAATATTGGTGCAGTGTATGACATGATGGGCGATTACTCTAAAGCACTTTCATTTTACCAGAGAAGTCTTGAAATCTATGAAAAGGCACTACCTCCATACCATCCCCGGTTAGCCACTTTGTATTCGTGCATAGGTTCTGTCTATGATGTCATGAACGAGTATTCGAAAGCATTCGCATTTTACAAAAAAGATCTTGAAATCTGTCTGAAAGTATTTCATCCGGATCATCCTGATTTGGCTAATTGCTACAGCAACCTCGGTTCGATATCTGACAAAATGTGTGATTACCTGGAAGCAATTTCATTTTATGAAAAAGCAATTAAAATCTACAAAAAGAGTCTGTCCTCACGTCATCATAACTTGGGTGGTTGCTACAGCAATATTGCTTTGACGTACAAGAACATTTGTCAGTATACGAAAGCATTGTCATACTATGAAAAGGCTCTGAAAATCGAAAGTAACATTCTACCTGAGAACCATCCTGATATGGCTACTTTGTATAACAATATGGGCTCTCTATACCTCAGCATGGAGAATTGTCAAGAATCCGTGAAATTCTACAAAAAGGCACTCAAAATTCGTATGCAAGTGCTGCCATCGAACCATATCGATCTGGCAGCTTCCTACAATAACATCGGTGTAGTATATGCCAAGATAAATGATTTAGACAAAGCTCAAAAATTTTACATGAAAGCCATTGAAGTCTATGAAAAAGCTAGTACTCCAAACCAGCCTGTTCTGGCTGCTTCCTATAATAATATCGGCTCGCTATATGACAAGATGGGCGAGCAATCAAAAGCACTTGAGTTTTACGAAAAAGCCCATAGTATCAATCAAGTAGTCCTTCCTTCGACTCATCTTCACTTGGCTACTACCTACAGCAATCTTGGTACAAAGTATGATGACGTCGGTGAACATTCGAAAGCAGTGCCATATCATGAAACTGCACTTGCCATTCGCCGAAAAGCTCTATCCTCGGATCATCCTGATTTGGCTGCTTCGTATATTAATATCGGAAGAGTTTATGATAACATAGGAGAGCACTCCAAAGCAATTACGGCTGTCGAAAATGCAATTGAAATTGAAGAAAAATCACGACCTCCAGATCATCCTCATTTGACTATATGTAGAGAGAATCGCGAGTACGTGAGAAAGAGAATGTAGCCCTATTTTCAAGGTGAATAAAAGTTAAACTACACCGCAGGTATTGAGAGTGTGAGCCTAATACACATGTTGACCTCATTAATCCACACTCAGCTCAATAGGGTGTGGGGTGTGGGTGGGTGTGGATGTGGGGTGGGTGTGGGTGGGGGTGTGGGTGTGGGTGTACGTGTGGGCGTGGGGTGTAGGTGTGCGTGTGACTATCCTTTTATAAACACCAACACCCACACCCACCCTCGAATGTGCAACGACATATATAAATTTAGGTGAAACATATCGTCAAATGAAAGATTATACAACGGCATTGACATATTATCAAAAAGGATTAGAAATACGTGAAAATAAACTACCAAAAAATCATCCTGATTTAGCTGTAGTATATCACAATTTGGGGAAATTATATTTATCTACTCGACAATATAATATGGCAATGAAAAATGTTCAACAAGCCGTAGAAATTGCTCAAGAAAAATTACCTTCAAATCATCCACATATTTTGGAATATAAAGAAACATTTGAAAAAATTCGAAAGAAAATGTAATTTGTTTTTTTTTTCGATTTGCTGAATAAATTTATTTGCATTACAATTGATTCTCGCGTACGCGCGCGACGAGGAAGACTCCCTGTAAGCCCGCAATGGGTACACGCAGAGCGGACTATGCCGGACTTGTAGGGCATGATCATAGGTGTGACGTACGTAAACGGCGACAGGGACCTACGAACAGACGGCCTTCCCGAGTACTCCACTGCTTTCGCCAACATAGGCACAAGAAATCTCCCTGGGTCAGATTACGAAGCTATCTGACGGGCTGTGATATAAAATAGTATCTATCTCCCTCTCTACATAATAATATAAGTATGAAAGAAAAAAGAAAAAAATAACTTGAAAAGTTCTAGTGGCCAATAGAACTTTTCAACTTATTTATAAATTTTTTATCCCAATACGAAAAAAAAAAAGAAACAACATACTCTATTTAAGATTGGAATATATATATGTATAAATATCATAATTATGTACATAATTGTATCTTGCACCTCCTGAAAAAAAAACCATTTATTAGAATACTTATTCAATCTATTGTTGATACAATAGATCGATTGAATTGAATGATTTTATACAAGAAAATCATTCCTTATATAGGATATTTGAAAAACATGAACTATCACTCAATGATAATGATTAATAGATAATCATCGACGATCAATTTATCGTCAGCCGACGATGAATATGTACTTATTCTATTTACATCACATTCACAGCCGTAATTCAGTGACTAAAAAAAAAAAGAAAACAAAAACAATTCATTTCAATGGTTATTGTTTGAATTTCCATGTAGGAAATTTCATTCTTTACTTTGACATCATTTTCATTGCATTATGATGATTATTTTCGAAAACTAAGATTTCTTCATTACTTCCATTAGTTTTGTACGATTTGAAACCTTTTTATAGAATTCAAGGTCTTTCTTTTTGTATCCTTCTCATCATGTTATTTTCATGAATTAAAAGCACGATTTTCATCAATGAATTTCAAACAACATTAAAGAATACATATGGTTTATTCATCACAAATGACTTTTTTTTGTCATTTTATAAGTCACGCCCTGAAGATCAACAATTATGTGAACACGTTCCACCGTCCCAACGAGTTAGTTTAATTTGTAAACAACAATCTAGATATGGTGTATATCTGATGTTAAATCGCGTTACAAGACATGTACATGCTTTAGTTTTTAATGAAGCTCTACATTAATTAATTACTAAACGAGCTTTATTGTAAAATATTTTCGAATATATATTTGTTTTCATACATCAATTCTTTTCGAAATATCACTTGATTGATAATAATAGTCTTTATGATAAAGATATTGATGTTGAATTGATAGTTATTATTTGTCATGATTTATCAGGTATAGATGATAGTTCCAAAGAAATAGATTACTGTTTTCATAATGGTTATTCTAATTTTAAGGACTGATATTCAGAGTTTTTAAAACATATTTATTTTAAATAAGAATCTTCAACTCATATTAATAAATTGTTGATGTTGTACTATCATCACTTGATGGTGAATCATATTTCGGGATCTTTTTCAATGGGTCAACGATACAAGTTTTGCTCCGAAATAATTCGAAACGGTTTCTGTATCAATTTTTAGTTGCTGTTGTCATTGATCGTTGTATTTGTCTTTCTTGTTATCATTCGTATTTCTAGATATGCTACTAGCACCGACTTCATAAAAAGATTTGTTGACATTATTCTATCAAGAATTCTTGTAATGCAAAAAGAAGAAACTATGCTTATAACTTGTTTTCTATTCTTGACGAAACTACTCATTAAAACTCAGTATTGTAGCTGAAAATTCACGAGAAGCTTTTTACTTGTTAACAACCCATGTGTTCGACTGCGGTCAAACTGCGTCGCAGTTACGGCGTAACTGCGATCGCACTGTGACCCGTAATTGCGAAAAACTGCGACGCAGTTACGCGTAACTGCGATGAAAAAATCGCAGTTGCGCGTAACTGCGATAAAAAAATCACAGTTACGCGTAACTGCGTCGCAGTTTTTCGCAATTACGGGTCACAGTGCGATCGCAGTTACGCCGTAACTGCGATAAAAAAATCGCAGTTGCTAAAAAAGACGATATAGCCAACGTTATCACTTTATTAATATTTTTATTAGGAATTACAAAAATTTTTAAAATACAAAAAATTAAAAAATTACAAAAATTACAAAAAATTGCTAATAAAAGAATTTATAAAAAAAGTTAAAAAAATAGAAAAATTTAAAAAAATTAAAACTATTTGTAAGAAATGAAAAGTTGAAAAAATTTAAAAAAAAATAAAAACAAAAAATAAAAATCTAGAAAAAAAATAAAAATCTAAAAAATAAAGAAATAAATATCTAGAAAATAAAAAATATATAAAAGG